GTCATTTGTGCACTGAGAGGGAGCAAACTGTGTCTGTGAGCGCACAAGGATGTGCACAAGTGACAAACCTGCGTGCGCGCGTTGTCAACGAGCACACGGCAGAGGAAAACGTGCGCGCGCGGCAGCCTCTGTGCGCGCTCGGCAGCCTCTCTGCGCGCTCGGTTTCTGACTCCTGCTCGCTCGGCTGTAAGGGTTTTGGCACTCTGGAGGCGTGGCCTGTGGCAGATCTTCTCCGTCCTCTGATTGGTTAGTGTACCCCGCACTTTACCCTCTACCTATCTATACAAAAAAGTCTGCTATTCAAGCAGTTGCTGGCATAGCTCAGTTGGGAGAGCGGGTGACTCTCGCCCCGGAGGATCCGGGTTCGAGGCCGGGCAAGGAAAATGCAGTAGATGTCATGTTAGTTTTTCTTAATTTCAGGTATTTTACAGTTGTGACCGTTCAACTGTCATTAAACGTCCGAATGTTTGCTGGGCAGTGTTTTAAAAAGTGCACATAAGCTAGATGGTTTTAACCATAGAAAATTACATTTTTTGTGATACTGGAAAAATACATACTGAAATAAAACTACTGATTGAAAACTTTATGACTGTGGTTGTACAATATATGACTCACTAATACACTGCAAACTCCCTTAGAGTGGGGCTTCCAGAGAGAGAGAGAGAGAGAGAGAGAGAGAGACAGAGAGAGAAAAGTTCTTGCCTCATTAATGAATTGTTTATTTTTTTCAGTATTTAATTGACAAATTATCCTTTCAAATAATTAATTGATGAGTTACATAATTGTCCATTTAGAATTGTTGAATGGACTGAGTCAAGTTTGGTGCACTTTATATATTTCAAAACATGTTTTTTTTTTATTTTAATGATGCATATAAATAATTTAAATGTTAATTTAATGAAATATTTCTATTTTTTCATTACCTCACCCTTGTTTTGACAAAAACGGGACCTTGCTGGATAATATCATGGAGAAACTATTTGTTCACAGTACATGGCTCCGTAAGGATCTGTGTACCAAAGGAGGAGATACTCAGAAATCTGTCTGCAGATTGTTACAACTCAGACTGGAAGTGGCGGGCTGTAATAAGAAAGGAGACCAAACAGAGGAGTGGGGGTTCAACAACTGATTTATTTAACAAAAGTAAAGATTTACTAAAGCAAGTTAGTGAACAGAAAATGGCCAGTGAGGACTCTCCACCACACAGGAGAGACCCAGTGAAAGCAGAAAAACAGTAGGCTTTGTAGGCAGCACCACACCCTGAGCCCAGGTGCCTCCAAGGCTGCTTAACCAGCTGCCTACAACAGAAGAAAAACACAATTAAACACAAATGAAAACCCAATGAGACGGTGGGGGCATCACAACACGTTCAGGACTACCCAAACACCAGTAATTCTTGACTGCACTGATCTGAGGTGTCAATGGCCATATTCCCCTCTCTTCCAGAGTCATATATTTTCCTCAAGTTCAACTGCACTCTGAAGAGGCTCATTTGGATTGTGCCACATAGGCCAGTGACCTTTGTCTCAGCACTGTATGCTGGAACTATCAGCGACCAACCTGGGAATCTGGTGTGATGAAAATGCTACAACTAGAGATGGTCATCTTGGTAGACAGGGGTTTCTTCATTGATGACATTGTGCCCTGCAAAGTGTACAGGCCAGCTTTCCTTTCTGGCAAACCTCAAATGTCTGCATGTAAAGTTATAGAAACAGAAGCCATAACATCTCTGAGTGCATGTGGAGCGCTCCATTCATCTGGTCCAAGAACACAAGCATTTTGATTGTTATTCCCCTCCTTGCATTTGTAAACAATCAGCTATATGCTGTGGTTTTTCTCCTTACCAACTTTTAAAATAGCCCACTAGTGAAGGCCTGGGCAAAGAAGCCTGATGTCTGAGAACCTCAACATATGTACGGCAACCACACTGTATATTTACACACTTTCATAAAGAAACTGCATATCAAGCTTTCATTCAGATGACCTTCAACAGTGCTGCACCCTGCTGAGGGACATCCGAGTAAAACCTTGAGATGGCCATTTTATGTTCACTAACTTGCTTTAGTAAATCCTTACTTTTGTTAAATAAATCAGTTGTTGAACCCCCACTGCTCTGTTTGGTCTCCTTTCTTATTACAGCCCACCACTTCCAGTCTGGGTTGTAACAATCTGCAGACAGATTTCTGAGTATCTCCTCCTTTGGTACACAGATCCTTACGGAGCCATGTACTGTGAACAAATAGTTTCTCCATGATATTATCCAGCAAGGTCCCGTTTTTGTCAAAACAAGGGTGAGGTAATGAAAAAATAGAAATATTTCATTAAATTAACATTTAAATTATTTATATGCATCATTAAAATAAAAAAAAAACATGTTTTGAAATATATAAAGTGCACCAAACTTGACTCAGTCCATTCAACAATTCTAAATGGACAATTATGTAACTCATCAATTAATTATTTGAAAGGATAATTTGTCAATTAAATACTGAAAAAAATAAACAATTCATTAATGAGGCAAGAACTTTTCTCTCTCTGTCTCTCTCTCTCTCTCTCTCTCTCTCTCTCTGGAAGCCCCACTCTAAGGGAGTTTGCAGTGTATTAGTGAGTCATATATTGTACAACCACAGTCATAAAGTTTTCAATCAGTAGTTTTATTTCAGTATGTATTTTTCCAGTATCACAAAAAATGTAATTTTCTATGGTTAAAACCATCTAGCTTATGTGCACTTTTTAAAACACTGCCCAGCAAACATTCGGACGTTTAATGACAGTTGAACGGTCACAACTGTAAAATACCTGAAACTAAGAAAAACTAACATGACATCTACTGCATTTTCTTTGCCCGGCCTCGAACCCGGATCCTCCGGGGCGAGAGTCACCCGCTCTTCCAACTGAGCTATGCCAGCAACTACTTTACCAGCAGACTTTTTTATATAGATAGGTAGAGGGTAAAGTGCGGGGTACACTAACCAATCAGAGGACAGAGAAGATCTGCCACAGGCCACGCCTCCAGAGTGCCAAAACCCTTACAGCCGAGCGAGCAGGAGTCAGAAACCGAGCGCGCAGAGAGGCTGCCGAGCGCGCACAGAGGCTGCCGCGCGCGCACGTTTTCCTCTGCCGTGTGCTCGTTGACAACGCGCGCACGCAGGTTTGTCACTTGTGCACATCCTTGTGCGCTCACAGACACAGTTTGCTCCCTCTCAGTGCACAAATGACCTCTCGCCATGTATATTTCCGCTCGCGAGTCCCGTTCACACGCGCGCTGCCATGTATATTTTCGCTCGCGAGTCCCGTTCACACGCGCGCTGTGGACCCAATGCGCGTGCACGGGTTTTGACACGGGTATGACGCGATATCCAACCTGTTTTTACGCTTTCTCTGAGACATGTCACGTCGATAAGTTGTTAGCGCCGCGCGCTAACACGTCAATAGTGCAGCGTAGCCTGCTGGAGGTTTTACGGGTTCAGATGAAAACACCCGACCTCTCACACTGCTCACGCATCGATCTTAAGTTGTCGCTGTTGCGCTCACATTGTAATACAGTATTAGATGCGGTTAAAGTCAGACATGAAAAAATAAATAAATTTTACATGAATAAGTGATGCTTAGCCTGGTGGGGGGAGGAGAACCTGTCAAGATCGTCAACACTCGTTTATCTTAATGCTATTGAAAGCATTATATCCACTGCTACCTTTCTAATTTTGGACTCAGTAACTTATGCTGTAACTTCAGCTTGCCCGGTCTGCTCCTCCTTGCTGCCTGCCGGCTGTGATCACAAGCGACAACATAGTAGTTCCCGCTGCTTCTTCGGGAAACGGCGCCAAAAAAAAAAAACACAACTGGGGATCTTGTAGGCGGGTTTTCAGCCGTGGCGCCCCGCCACGGCTACCTACGCCTATGTAAGGGAAACCCTGAGTCCTTATTTAGATTTTGTGAGTTTTTGCAAAGCGTGTTTTTGTCAGCCTGAGGCGTGGTGTTGAACGAGGAAACAGATTGTTTTACTGTGTTAAATCTTCTTAAGTGTTTAAAATGTTTTGTCCTAACCTGTTGTGAATTGAAAGCTTTAGAGGGATGGCAGGTTGTGTTGATTACGTTTTTGATTAAAAAAAAAAAGCGATTATCTGACATCTTCTATTTATCGATGAAAACAAATCAAAATGAAATAATCTTGATGATCGGGATATCGAATCGAATTGAATCGTTGACCCAATAATCGTAATCGAATCGAATCGGGAGACAAGTGAAGATTCACACCTCTAACACACACACACACACACACACTTATTGTTTTTAATTTAAAATAATGTCGTCTTTATTAATTTTATGTTTTGTTGCATTGTTTGGAAAAAGAACCTTAACATAAAAACAATTTGAGGTATTTTAAAAAAATTTTAAATAAGTTTTGAAAGAAAGTAAAGCAAATTAAATGTAATTTATCCAGATTTATACTGAAATGTATTCTATACTTTAAAAAAATATTTGTACTACAATTCAACTGGTATGTGAGATTGTTTTATACGTATAAACAGAAGGAAAGAATATATCGCGATATATATATCGTTAACGCATGTGCGATGTAGATTCCTTCTGTGTGTGTGTGTGTGTGTGTGTGTGTGTGTGTGTGTGTGTGTGTGTGTGTGTGTGTGTGTGTGTGTGTGTGTGTTTGTCTGCTTTCTCCACTTGATTGCCTAGTATATACTGTTACCTAAGTGGCATTGTGGTAAATGTTTTTCCATCATTGCAGGAAGCCAGAGATTCAGCCTCTCTGTCCCTTTCTCTCACATGAGTTGCTGATTTTACCCCCTTGGAGCCACGCAGTGTGATTCATTACTTTTTCTGCTTTTCTGTTGAGGATCCTTCAGTCGTAACACTATGACCTTTGACAGGAAAGGCAACATTTTCATCTGCCAAGCAGTCATCTATAGCAGTGTTTACTTGTTGAGTATTTCAATCTTAATATGTAAAACATTGAAATGTTTTTCTTTTAACTGTATCAGGTATGTGATTGAGCGTATGAACACAGAGGATCCCAGCCGGCACGTCTGCCCAGAAGATCTGGGAGGAAGGACACATGAGCAAGAGGATCCACAAGTCAAAGAAGTGGTGGAACAGCTGCTTAAAATAGCAGACGAGCTAAACAGAAATGCAGAGTTTCAGCGGTAAGAACCGACCTGTGTTGTGTTGTTATAATAGACAGACATAGCACAAGGATCATAACAAATGAACAACAGAAGTATAAAAGATGAATTAAGGAAGCCATAGAAATACGGAGACTTGGGCGCGGAACCATAAACAAATATGAGGGGGTCTACACATTAGATTATACATAGAACTGCCTCGTCGGTGAGAACGCGGTCAGTAGAGGGCAACACCGCCATCTCCTGACTGCACTCTCCTCACCGATAGAATCCAATTATAGTCTATGGATTGTTTCAAACCAGCTGGGAGGCGGCAATTTCCAGGCGTGTCCCAGAAGCGGCATGCTACGGTGCTAAAGATGATATCGAGTTCTATGTTTTCCGCGAGCTGCTTCTTGGACACGTCAATTTCCGCAGTTCACATGGTGCTAGACAGGAAACCACACGGTTTCAATGTAAAATCCCAGGTTATTTTCAAAATAAAACGCAATGTTATATGTAACTTATGTCAGTACGTGTGAACGAACGCCTTTGTTTAACACCAGAGAAGTGCAACGGTGTGATTCCTCGCCGGGGTTGTGATCACTCAATGAGGAAGGTGTCGGAAGTTTCGAGGGATTTTAGAATCTCGCGAGAATAGCGAGGCACAGCGAGGAAGCCGTGCCGCGGCCATGACTCTCGCTGTGTGAAAAGGACCGCTTTGAAGTTCGCGAGTGAGCCGCTCCGCTGCCGTTCCGTTCCGCTGATGCTTGCAGTGTGAAACCGGGGTAAGCGTGAGGAGATGAAGGTGTGGAGAACAGTCTCAAGTTCAGAGCGGGACAGAATGGGACTCAGCTTAGCAATGTTCCTGAGATGGAAGAAGGAAGAGCGAACAAGAGAACTGACATGAGGATCCAGGGTGTGAGCTGGGTCAAAGGTCACACCAAGATTCCTTACGGAGGGTTTGGTGTGAGAAGCCAGCTGACCAACCAGCTTGTCTGGGACACAGATGAGGATCTCAGTCTTATCTTCATTCAGCTGTAGAAAGTTCCCACCATCCAGGTTTTGATAGAGTCTAAGCAGGTGTGTAACAGCTGCAGCTTAGACATCTCATGGGACTTAAAGGAGATGTACAGTTGGATGTCATCTGCGTAAAGATGATAGGAGATTCCTCTGAAGGAGCTCAGGATGTGCTGAAGACAAAGCAAATAGAGGAGGAAGAACAGAGGCCCCAGCACAGAACCTTGTGGGACACCATGGGTAAGGGTGGAGGACCTAAACTTGGAGACGACCACAAAGAAGGAACATTCAGAAAGATAAGAGGAGAACCACTCCAGACAGATCCTGATATGCCTACCCAGTCTCTCAGCCTCTCCAGTAGCAGGTGATGGTCAACAGTGTCAAAGGCTGCAGTCAGGTCCAGCAGGACCAGAACGGTCCCCTGCATCACTGTGAGTCAGAAGGTCATTAGAGACCCTAAGAAGAGCTGTTTCAGTAGAATGAGCTCTACGAAAACCTGACTGGAAGCTATCATAGATGTTATGTTCATCAAGAGCAGCTGTGAGTTGTTTAGCCACAACCTTTTCCAAAATCTTGGAGATGAATGGAAGCTAAGAGATGGATCTGAAGCTGCTATGGAGAGAGAGGTCAAGACTCGTTTTTTTAAGATGCGGGTGGATTACAGCGTTCTTAAAGTAAGCAGGGACCTGACCAGAAACCAGAGAAGCATTAATTATAGAGAGCACGCTGGGACCGATGGACTGAAAAGCACTTTTAAACAAAGATGAGGGTAAGATGTGGAGGGGGCATGCAGAGGTCTTCAGAGTTAACTAGTTTGGTTAACTCAGGCAAAGAAACAGGAGCAAAGCTATCTAGGATGATGGGCCTGGTTGGAGTCGGGAGAGGCAGCGATAAGGCTGAAGGAGAGATGCTAGATCTAACCTTATTGACTTTGTTCACAAAGAAATACAAAGTTCTCACAGTCTGCAACAGAGTGGATGGAGGCTGTAGAAGAGGCAGCGATAAGGCTGAAGAAGAGATGCTAGATGTTACGGCTACCAGCCTGGCCATTGGGATGCAGGAGCCAGGATCACCAGGTGTTTTATGTCTATGGTCCATAAGCACAAACAACGGTCAGGACCCGTTCCCCGACCCGAAGGCGCAGGGAAGCTACCCTCTCCTTCCCCGGGGTAAACCCCAACACACAGGCAAAGAGTCTTGGGGCTAACAAAAAGCAACCCCAGCCCTCCGCCTCTCACCCGGAGCAACTCCAGCAAAGGAGAGTGTCCAACCCCTCTCAAGGACTTGGGTTCCAGAGCCAGTGCTATGTGTCGAGGTGAGTCAGACTATATCTAGCCGGTACCGCTCAACCTCTGCCACAAGCTCCTGCTCCTTCCCCACCAGCGAGGTGACGTTCCGTGTCCCAAAAACCTGTTTCCTTGTCCAGGGATTGGACCGCCAAGGTTCCCGCCTCGGTCTGCCACCCGATCCATGCTGCACCAGACCCTTCATGTTCCTCCTGCAGGTGGTGGGTCCCCAGTTGGATGAGCCAATGTATCCGGTTCGGGCTGGGCCCCATTGGCAAAGGCCTGGCTCCAGGGTGGGACCCCGGTAACCCTCCGGGCCGGGTACTCCGACTCTTTGAATTTACATCCATGAAAGATCCTCTGAACCGTTCTTTCTCACCCTTCACCTAAGACCAATTTGTCATGGGAGACCCTACCAGGGGCACAAAGTGCCCCAGACAACATAGCTCCTAGGATCATTAGGGCACTTTTAGGGCACTCAAACTCCTCCACCACGATAAGGTGAAGGTTCAAGGAGGATAATGAATTATGTAGTAAGTAAAAGTACACACACACACTTAACTTGGGGCATTGTCATCAGAGCACAAGCTCGACAGTTAATTCAGACTATGCTCGTGTAGCAGAGCTTGGAGTTCAGTTACAAATGTAACACAACCCATGATAGCTATGTAACCGTGTCCGCCACGGGTAAATTGTGGTAACATAACCCATGCTAACTAGGTAGCGATGTCTACCGCAGATATATCGTAGTAATGCAATCTAGTTAATAGCTTGGTAATTGGTAAGCAATTTTTAGCCCTGGATGTAGCCAGCGAGGGCTGTTGACTGACTTGGATTCAAGTGCAAATCGCATTGACTGAAATTAAAAATATTATCTGCTGAAGACAACAAGAAGTATACGTTTTGAGAGAAATCAAAAAGTTTGTGTTGTTTGAACTGAATGGATATTTAGCTCCTTACAAATAAAAAGTATTGTTTTAATATGCAAAAAGAAAGAGTTTCACAATCAAGTCACTTATTTTATTCAGCTTTGAATAGTGGTTATTAGATTGAATGAAAAACTGCATGTTAGACTTTTTGCAGTGTATGACATCAAACGTGATTTCCTTCTTTTTGGTTTAATGGCGGATTACATAAACAAACTGTGACCTTTGACGTATTGAGGGATCCTGTGATCTTGTAGGTCCAGCGAGGAGCACAGTGAGGAAGCCGCTCCTTGGCCAAGACTCTCCCGGTGTGTAATAAACCACATTGACGCTTGCGAGTAATACATTCTGCTGCCATTCTGTGCCGCTTGATGCTTCTAGTGTTAAACAGGGGTTACTCAACCCTTGGAACCACAATGGAGCAGGAACTAAGAAAATTGGTAGAAAGTAGGGGGGAAATACTGAACTGCTGGAAAAGGCCGATTAGCAGCGTTGTTATGTTTCTTGGAGGTGTTCAAGACATGCTGCTCCTTCCTTGAAAATATCAGGCAGCGGCGTATTACACTTTGTGGATGTTACACAACCCTTAAATATACAGTGGAATGCCAGGGTTTTGTCTAATTCAAACATCTTAATACAGACTCCTCTTTTGTTTTTGTATTTTTATCTGGGTGAATACAAATATTTTTCTAATGCAAAGCATGCCTATCATTGTTTTATCTGAATGTTTCTTTTTTTCCAGACTGATCAATCAGGTTCAGGCCAACTGTGCCCAGGAGGTCTTCATGATGGTGGCCAGGAGCATCTTCATTGATGGCATCAACTGGGGACGGGTGGTGGCTCTCTTTCATCTGGCCTACAGACTCATATACAGGGTAAAGTTTTTCACAAAAGAAGTCTTTACAAGTCTTTGTGCTCCAATTCACATGTTCAAAGTGACAATGTGCATTTTCCCTGGTGATAGGGGGCAGTACATTCCTAAATAATTACAAGCAAATTATATTTTTGTGTTTGAGTAAGACCTTACCAACGGATGGCCATTAGTGTCAAAAATGACAAGCGCATCAGACCGTCTTTTATCACTGGAATCGAGTTAAGAGGTAAATGCGTAAAACAGCGTTTATGAATCATGGCATTTTTGTATTCGCTTGTTCCAAATCAGTAAATGTATTTTGTTCTAATGGGCTAACATAGAAGGAAACATGGGCTGTGTCTCAATTCAGGGTCTGCATCCTTCGTCGGCCGGTTACGTCACAGCGCCGCGACTAGGCCTGCCCTAATTCGAGGACTCCTTCAAATGCGGCCGACGAATCCGGCCTTCTTTTCGCCTGTATGAAGGATGAGTCCGGTGTATCCTTCAGTGGTTTACATTTCCCAAGATGCCTTGTGGGCCTGATGGCAGAACTTTTAAAAACAATGGTGGACAGCGAAGCGGGAGCTGTCAGAGAGGATTGCGCATATAAATGTCAGTATAAAAAAACTGTTAGGTTAAGGACTTTTTGTGATACACGAATGCTATTTTAGTTCGAAATGTTACAGTAAAAGTGCTTGTATTGCGGTCTCGGCTCGTATGTTTGGCCCCTCTGTGCCGCACCTCTCCCGCTACGTTTTCCCCCTGATTTTAATAGGAGTTTGTATTTTAGGGACAAAAGAGAAAACCACAGAATTTATTAGGCTTACCCCGGCTTTCCACGGGAGCCGTCAGCAGCACGTTACGGCAGCAGCACGTCATAGCTGCTGATAGGAACCGCTGTGGTCAACAGAACCTTTTCCACTGGAGCCGTCGGCAGCCGTCAGCAGCGCGAGTCGGCCGCGTCTCAGGAGCAGCATGTCGTGGCCTTTACGCGCGGTTCTATTTTCTACGCGCGACGCCTCTGAAACGGGTCAAGTTCGACATTTTTGGGGAAGGAAAGACAGGAAATCGGACGCGGAAATGGAGAGAAGCTCCCGAGATTTTCAGAATAAAGAACGTACTGCCTTCCGGCTGCTTTACTTTTAAAAAAGGTTACTAACTGTGCGTCCCCGTGAGAAGTTATCACCTAGCTAGCGGTCTCCTTTGTTTTTCAGGTCCGTATTGGCGATTATAAAACGGACAGAACATAAAACACAAACCATGTTGTAGTTTTCTCCTGCTTGTTGTTGTGTTTACTGACGAAGTCACTCGTGTGACTTCGTGCTCTGTCGGTGACAGCTGCTCCCCTGCTGCTTCGCGTCTCGTGGGAAGGGTCAAGCAGCAGCTTATGCGAGCAAGACGTGCTGCTGCAGTAACGTGCTGCTGACGGCTCCCGTGGAAACCCGGGGTTAGGGCGGAGATGGACCACATGTTCACTGGAGCAAAGTATTCGGCGGCTGTGGCATGGAGGTACAATAACATCTCATATTTTAAAAACTTTCGTTTGAGTTTAGTTTTTTTCTGCGAAAACATGAAAGGAATAAACCGTTGTCCTCTTTTCTCTTCCTGTTTGTTTTCTTACTTGTTTGTTAGTACTGTATGACTTGATCAAGTTTTGAAAAGCTCCTCTCAGCTTGAGCCACAGTGACTGGCAGAGCAGTCCAAAAGTTGGGGTAGATCTCCAATAGATCTTTATCATGATCCATAATATTTTAGAATTGCCTCTGAAATTGTAATTTAAACTGACATAAAAAAAACTGTAGACTACCAAAAATGCCAACTTTTACAGAACAAATCATGTAAAAAATAATCAGTGCAGCCATCTGCAATAAATAAACAGGATAGTTAGTGGTGACTGGGGAGTTTTCTTATGCTTGTAGAGTTGTTTTATTATTATGTGAACATGATCAACATGTGTTTGTTGTTGTTCAGGCAGGCCACAGGCTGCAGCGAGCATTTAACAAATCCTAGTTTGAATCAGTAAAAAACGATTCAAGGATTTTTTTCGAACCATTTGAATATTTGTTTCAATATTTCAGCCCTATTAGCTCTGTTAGCAACTAGTTGACATAATTTAACCATTAAAATCCCAGTTAACTGGTTAAAAAAATTGAAAACATGCATCATGAGAGCGTACATACCTTTATCTTTCTCCTCTTTTTTTCTTTTCTTGTTTTTCTTGAATCGGGCACCTGGTGGTTTTAGCCTTTTTATGTTCATCTCTTCTGTTTGGCTCTTGACTCAATAAGTTTCCTTTAGTCAGGACTAAACTATTTGACCTTGATGGGGGGATGACCACAAAATCGTTTTGTTTTTCCTTTTTTTATTCGGCCATTTCACACAATTCAGAAAAACCTGAAAGAATGATAGGCCTGTGTTTATGATATTATGTATGAAATGTGCGTTAAATGGAAGAACATCAAGATGTGATTGACTTTAGCCATGTTAATACAGTTGATTCAGCCCCTACCCGCTCATTTCATTTGGGAAAGACCCAGAGGTGAATGGTAAATGGTAAATGGTAAATGGCCTGTATTTGATATAGCGCCTTCCAGAGTCCTGGAACCCCCCAAGGCGCTTTACAACACAATCAGTCATTCACCCATTCACACACATTCACACACTGGTGGGGATGAGCTACAATGTAGTCACAGCTGCCCTGGGGCGCACTGACAGAGGCGAGGCTGCCGAGCACTGGTGCCACCGGTCCCTCCGACCACCACCAGCAGGCAACGTGGGTTAAGTGTCTTGCCCAAGGACACAACGACAGCGACAGACTGAGCGGTGCTCGAACCTGCAACCTTCCGGTGAATTCCCCCGCCGCACCCCTCCCCTTCCTCTTCTTCATACACACACGTTGCACGTGAACGTTCTCAGTCAGCAGGAGCGCCTGCAGCTGCAGGGGGCGCCAACTTGCTGTTTCCAATCCAGTCACTGTGATATGACAGACAGAATAGAAAACCGGTGCAGATTTCTATCTTTTTTATTTTTTACTCAGCGCTTGTGCGCCCCTTTTGTGTCATGAAAAAAATGCCTCCCCGGGCAACTGCCCTGTCTGCCCGTGCCTAAAACCACTACTGTGTATATATATATATATATATATATATATATATATATATATATATATATTACTTCTTACTTGAGTAACTCTTTTGGTGGGGAGCTTTTTTAGTTGAGTAAGTATAAAAGATTTAAGGTTGTAGTTTATATTTGAGTATAAGTTTTGAATTTAATACGGAGTCTGTTAACAACCTGTAAAAAGTTGCTAAAACTATCCATTAAACTAGCTATAGCCGATAGTTGTGTCTCAGCCTGAGAAATAGAAAATGCCTTCGCCAGCGATACATTTCTTCCAACTCCTCCAGAACCAAGGAAATTATTAAAAAGCTCAATAAAACTTCGAGCTCCATCGTTTAAAGTTCCTTCTCCCTTCTGCTCAGCGGTTCCACGGTTGCTAGGCGACGGAACGTTCGCCGAGAGAGTGGCGGGAATTCATGAAGGCTAGGCCTGTCCAAATTCACAGCCGTTAACATCTGGTCTACTCGGCCGACGGAGGACCCAGCCCACGTCGGGCCAATCACAGAGCGTGACGACAGTCAGTTACCCAATGAGGATTTTTCTTCAGCACCATTACAGATATTTACAAGTTTTACACTCGTTTCATGCTCGTATTTGTCAAAAATGCTTCATCAGTACCGGATACTAGTCAGTATGAGTATCCGGCTCATCCCTAGCTGTAACCACCCTGCCCTGCCTCCTCCTCCTTGCTGCCTGCCGGCTGTGATCACAAGCAACAACAGAGTAGTTCCCGCTGCTGCTTCGGGAAACGACGCAAAAAAAATGAGAAAGAAAATCAATAAAACTTGTGATCTTGTAGGCGTGGCACTGGGATTACGCCTATGTAAGGGAAACACTGCTGTAATCCTTAACCCTTTAAGCGCCAACGTCGCAGAATTGCGACAAGCAGCCATGTTGGATTTAATAAGCCACAGCAGCAGAAATGGGCCCTCATGCAGTTAATACGTTACACAGCGGGGTGGCAGACACCTGTAACTTCAATCCAAGCAGGTGTGTTACTATTCAAATTTATGGAGTATTTAGAACTTGAACCCCGCCCACCAGTCACAGAGCCGTGGGGCTTGTCAGAGCAGTCAGATGAGTGAGAGCGAGCAAGTGGTAAAGAAAAAAAACACAATGCCGAGAGGAATGTTCTGTGCTGATGAAGTTCTTGTGTAGTACTGGCAGATTCGGATTTGGAGGAAGAATATTTCCTTTCCGAGGATGATCTGCGGTCTTCAAGCGAGATGGAAAGCGTGGCTTCAGCGCGCAGCAACAGGGAGTCTTGTCAGCGACGACGCGGTTACATAAGCAGCCCATCCAGCCCTTATCTTGTCCAATGTTCCGCGTCACTGTGTCCGTACTGGGTCTGCTGGTGATTGATTCAGCCCCGGGGGTGTAAACCACGGGAATGGAGCCGAAGGGGGAGAAACCGCTGGGTCGGGGAAAGACAGGTGGCGGGGTGGCCTCGAGCAGCTTGTATTCCAAGTGGATCAGGCATTTTGATTAGCCAGCTGGATACTGTGGAGACAGGGATCTGTCAAATTCAGAACACATTGATTTTCTGTCAGTTTTTTTGGATGAGGAATTCTGTTGAGCCAGTATGTGCTAAAATGACCCGTTTCAAGGTTAATGAAAGAGTCACTCAGACCCCACCGCCCTCCGTAGCCAGAATATCACACTTCAGTGTGGCGGGCCGCTGGTTAGCTGACATACCTGGTGCTGCAGTCTGCTTCCAGCAGGTTTCCTGCATGTTTTAAATCATGAACACATCTGATATGTTTGATTTAGGGATGAATTGTTTCTGTAGACGCTAGTGATGGCTGGGGAGACATTGCACACAGCGAGGAGACACGTTTTGCCTTTGGTTCTACTAAATGGACAGTAGGGATACTAAAACCAATGCCACACTGCCTAGTCTTCCTTTAAATAATAAAAAAATAGATTTAAAGTAAGAATAGACGAGCACGTTGCGCATCATCCAATTAGGGACACCGGTGCTCCGACAGCCCAAGGGACATCAAACATAGAGGAAAAGAAGAATGGCTGGAGCAAACTGGTCCTGCAAATAGTTTAATAGGTGTAAACAAAAAGAACTAACGTTTAGACAAAAAAATGTGTTCCTCAGAGATGCAGCTTACTGTTTTCTAAGATCTATATATAGATTTCTTCTTTTTGTTTGCACCTATTAAACTATTTTCAGCACCAGTTTGCTCCAGCCATTCTTTTTTTTTCTCCGTTTGATTTAATGTAAGTTTGTAGATTGTCAATAATTTCACACATTTTACATAATTTCTGGTGATAAATTAATTTAAAAACAAAAAATGTGAGGAGGCGTTTGAGAGCCAAAAGAGCCGGTTCATTTTAGTGAGCCGAGCTGAAGAACCGGTTCTCTTAAAAGAGCTGGAGTTCCCATCACTAATAGTCCAGGCTGCTGGAGAACTTACTCGGTAATCCAGGCTCACCCCTTTAGTTATGCCACTTATAGAACGCTTGATGCGTGACAGCTCACACTCAAGATCTTGCAAGAAGATAGCTTATCCCTGTTGACCACCAGTATTATCTGTCAGTTGTCAATAAACTGAACTAAATCGTGTCAAAATAAAATCCATCAGTGTGAATAACATGTGCAGCGCTGTAGGCTGCACAAATAGATGAAAAGACGGTAATGAAAGTAAAATTTCACATTTTTCATGCTGATAAAATATGCCAAAGGCAATGGTTAACAGCCACGAAGAGAGTTTGTTGCCGCCAAAGACTTATGAGAGAATAAAAAAAGAAATCTGCCCTAAAAGTCCAGGCAGGAACAAGTTATGGCCATCTAATGAGTTACATGTAGGATTAAGTGCTATATAAATAAGTTTCAGTTCAGGCAATCTTTAATGTCATTGTTTTTGTGTTTACTGAGCTCGTCAAGCATGTCAAATGTATGAAAGTTATTAATTTATGTATTTATAAACAGTTTGTCTCAGATCTGCCCAGCCTCCAATGTGTATCGCTTTGTGTTTCTGTTTGCGATATTTGTCAGATTAAGCAGAGAACCTGTCTATCTCCAAAGACAAACCGTATCACCGCGGTCTTTCAGCACTACGCTGCCCACTGCAGGACAGATCCAGTTACACCTTCGTTGCTTCAGCTGTGAAAAGTCAAGGCATGCTAATCAAATAATGTTAGATATCTCAAGACAATTCTGCCATCCACACAGCTCGTCAGCTATTTCAAACTGATCTAGAGTCTCTGCGCTAAACATGAACTTTTTGATCATCATTCCACACAAAGATGTGTTAGATGACCTAAAATAGTAATATTTAAATCCCTAGATTTTATTTTGTTAGATTAAATCGCAGAGACACAGCTGTGGATAGCAGCTGCAACGGGTCTTTTTGCCCTCAAACATTGTGTGGATGTGGGCTATTACCCAGATGCAAACACTAATATTCAATGGGTCTATTGGCTCAAGCTGCTGGAGGGAGAACGTGCTAGGATATTCTGGCTCTTCAGTTTAGTTAGGCTGTTATAGGCTCAGACTGCTGGACCTGGGCTGTGTCTGCATGAGGCTCCATTGTAGCCTGTCTGTTGTCATTCAGATGTATTAATTTTTGTATTTTTCTTTGGAAGGCTCTGACCACCGACCACCTGGAAAACATCAGGATGGTGATCAGCTGGGTTCTTCAGGTGATCAGGGACCTCCTTTATCCCTGGCTGGTGCAGCAGGGGGGCTGGGTGAGTTGTTGATGTGTCCTGGCACTTCTCAGGACCACCCACATTTCTAACCCCACCCTCTTTATGTTTCTAGGTAGGCGTAATCCAAAACTTTTCCCAGTGGAGGACTGTGGCCATTGTGGCATCAGTAGTTGTGGTGGCAACCTTTGTTTACTACAGAAAGACTCAATGAGACCACCGGTCTTCCTGGCTTTAGCAGCATGCTGATGAAGATGGATTTTGGACAACAATCACAATAATTCTACCTCCATCTTTATACAACAAGAAGGAGGAAAGTACTGAACTCTGAGGAGAAGATCTTCTCCTTTCTCAGGTTTTCAGCTTCCAAAACCAACCTCTGATATAGCACTTCTGTCCTCCTTTACCACATTTGGCTTCCACTGCAAAGACCTGTGTAGCAAGTTTAGGTGATCCACAGGTCGTAACCAGACCTGTGGACGTGAACTGGGTTGCCAGATCTGATTAGGCCTCAAAAATCCAGACTGAAGCTCAGAAAGCACCCTTTATGCTGCAGCTTCCCTCTGCTTTAATGACACATTCTGCAAAGGTCCACCATCTTTTTCTGTTCTTTCATGTTTGTAAAACAGCTGCAGCGTGAAGGCTGGCCTTAAGTTGGCGACCAAACACTCCAGAACGCCTCTGAGGAGAGCTGACTGTTAGGGTTTCTTTGTTCAGGTCAGTCTTCGATAGTTCCTAATATGTGGGGTTTTGGCTACTTGGATCACAGCAGCCTTTCTCACACTGCCCTTCGCTCTTTTCCTTCAGAGTAATCCAGATTATTTTGTTTGTGTCAGGCTCCACAAGTAGGAGTCAGTGTTGAGTCTAAACCTAATCTGTCTAGAGTTGCTGAAGAATTTGTTTTGATTTCAGTCATGGTCAGATATAAAGTGGCATCTCTAATGCTCCCTGTAGTGTTTTAGAAGAAGATATTTTAGCCAACATAATGTAATGATAGTAATTATTGGTTCAGATTAAAGCTTCAGATTGTAGCTAGGGTGACCAGATCCCAACATGCCAAATGTGGGACAACATGAAGTTCCAATGAGAAAAAAACAAACAAACATAAGGTATATTCTGCCTCTTAGCCCTACATCACTGTTACATATACATACAATTATTATTATCATCATATATTTCTGACATATATTTTATTTGAATTCAACATGAAGAGGCATACAGCAAAAGCACAGTTCCTCTCACGTTACCACAACAGTAGTGGCTCTGATCATTTTAATAATGCAGATAGGCCCACAATAATGAACACATGCAGGTTTAAACAGCTTTGCAGAGTTTTCATTGAATGTTTTCCACAACAGAATGACAGTAAAGTACCAGTAATATTTTTTAGATCTATTTATGTTTGTTTTTAACGAAATTTCCACTAAAATCAGCATCTCATAGAAAAAAGATCCATACTTTTTAGCTATTTTTTCATAATTCAGAAACAAAAGTTTTTTTTAACATGACAACAAATCTCTTCTAGATTATAGGTGAGAGAATAAACATCAGATTCTAATCTCTAAACATTTCAGATAATAGTTTCTTAGAGTCACTTTTTGCCTCAAATGTCTGAGAATAAGTGATGAAAGCTTTCATTTACTCATTATTTCTTCACTCTGCTTTAAGGGCTCAGCATGTAGCAGGTATCTGAAACCGCAGCACCTTGTCTGTGTTAGAGCCTCCATTGTGTTTATCATGGACCTGTCTAATTACTGGAAAACCTGCTTTTGGCCTCTTCATATCGGACTCCGCACCGAGACATGAAGAACGACTCAGAAACAACAAAGACTCTGTCGAGTATCTCTGAACACGTTTAATTTACGAGTTAACAGCATTTTCTCCTCCGTGCTCGCTCACGCTTGTTTTGGTGGTTCGGGCACGCTCCGGATCTGCGATAAAGTCCCGCCTCCGTCTGATTGACAGCAACAGGCAGATTTCTCCACAGTTTCTTCTATAAGATTGAAACTCGTACGGGAAACTGTCAAAATAATGCGGGACATCAGTCTCAATCTGCGGGACTCGTGAAAAGTGATGAAAATGCGGGACTGTCCCACACAAAGCGGGACGTCTGGTCACCCTAGTTGTAGCAGAACAGAAACACCATCAGGACACTGGATGCTCCAGCATGCTCCTGCAAGTCCATTATGGATTTTTGGTACAGTTACGCTGAAACATGAAGTTTGTGGTTTCCTGCTTTTTGACCAGCATGACCAGAGCTGGACTGGTCTGAAGGGGCACCATGTGAACAGAAACAGGACAAAGAGCAGCTTGTTCTACTCCATGCTGACAGAAATCCATGTGAAGACACGGACATGATGTCAGACACGTGGCTTATCAGAAACCTTTAGTCCTGTCATATGGATCTGAATGTAAACCGTGAAGCTGGAGTCTCAGCGGCATGAGCGGCCAAATCCCGGAAGAGGCATGTGTTTGTCCTGAGCGGCCTCTGACGTGGTGCAGGACCCATCTGCAGTGACACGCAGCTTCTATAAAACCCTCTTTCTGTCTCTTCACAAGACCGTCTCACTTACCAGTCCCCCATTTTATCTTCTTACTCCGTATTTAAAGCGTGTTCTTGAATGAAATGCTTTATTGGATCTTAGTGAATATTTCCAGAGCTTTAGTACTTCTGTGTGTTTTTATTTATATCCTCCAGTTTTACAGCCTTTTTAATCCCTTCAGTCCTAATAAGTGAAACAAGTGTCACCTTTCTAAACCACAGTGAAGCTGAGGCATGTTGAAGTAACCTGAGGTCAGTGGCGGCTGGCTGACCTGGGGTCTGCTCTTGACTTCCCTGTTAGTGTCTCAGTATTTTACAGTGCAATAGTCTGCACCTTGAAAAGAGTATCACACTATTTTTAATCATCCTGGGGTCACTTTTTAAAAAATGCCACTTCATATTTGTTTAAAAAATGATTTGATGGAGTTTTATTTCTGTGAATAAATTTACAACATGTTCTAACTGCTCACTGGGTCTTCTGTTAGTAGGGTTGGGCATCGTTTGAATTTCAACCATTCTGATTCGAGTTCCTCGTTGTCATTCCGGTTCCTATGGATTCTGTTTTTTTCAAGAGGCAGTATCCAAAAACAATACATGTTTTAAATCAGTGGTTCCTAACCTGGGGGTCCCGACCCCCACAAGGGGGCGCCAAAGCCTCTCAGTGGTTCGCCAGGACCTCTCCACTTTAAGGGGTTAAAACTTCATTCATTACTTGTTTATAGCCTACATTTTGCTCACGTTTTTTTTCATGAGTGAAAAGTTTACTGATATTAAGACAGGAAATAATTAGTACAGAAAGAGTAACACACTTTTAAGAACATTTTGCTCAGCTCACTGTTTTTTCAAGTGTCAAAAGTTCATTAAAGATAGGACTGGTGGATTAATCACAGCCTTTACAGTAAATAATCTAGTATAAACAGTAATGTACACATTTAAGTACATTTTGCTCAGTGTATTTTTTATGTGTCAAACGTTTGTTGAAAGGAATGATTGATTTATCAGTGTTTACAAGAAACAATGTGTTCAGAAAAGTAATACAAACTGTCAAGCACATTATGCTCTGTTTGGTTTTGTGACTTTGTTCTGTACTGGAGTCTACTATTACTGTTATCTATTGAATCAAAGCATATTAAAATGTGCTTGAACAATTTTATCATTTCTTAATAATGTTTGTACTGGAAGAGAGAATGGGAGGGGGTCGTCAAAAATTTAACTGGTAAAAAACTGGGTCCCTTGGGAAAAAGGTTGGGAACCACTGGTTTAAATGAGCCGACTAACCACAGGTCTTACTTGATGAAACAATCTGAACTTCAACATGAATTTTGTTCTATGAACAATAACGTCACCTTCATTTAGACAAAAACATGTTTTAAAGAAGGGAAAAAAAGACTTGCTGCACAACCAGTGTTTTTGTATCTGATTGCAACCACAGTATGAACTGAAGAAACCTGTAGGATGAGAGGCTAAACATCTTCAACATACCCAGAAAAGTCCAGCTAGGGCTGTGCAATCCAGCGGTACTGCAAAAAGAGCACACATTTCTTCTCAGCTGAGCCATGCTATTTGCTAGTGTAATGATTAGTAGGTGGTTACTTTTAATAAATTGTCAATAGAAGATAAAGGTATTAAATAAATGTAATAATCCATAAAAATGGATTATCAATATTATCGAGCCTTTAATATTTAATTGATGATGAAACTAGGTACTTTGATTAATCCAGGGAAAAACACTTTATAATAATTTGACACAGAGACAAAAATATAGTTTATAAAAAACTATGACTGTATTAATGATGATGAAAGGCAAACGATTATAAACGGTGATTCACAGTGATATCAAATGAGACGATGAATGAACTCTGATGAAACATGACCTGGTGTGTTTAAGAGTTCTCTAAGTGACTCAGAAAGGTGTGATGTCTGGTTTATAAAATAAGTTTGGGTGTTTGTTGGATGGAATTTATCAAGTTATTTATCAAGTTATCAAATTTATATCAACCACCATTGTTTAGTCTATGCACCCTGGATCATTGAGGCTCCCGGAGATCCGGTCTGCAGGCAAAGCCGTCTCTCGGAGCGAGTGAGTGGACTTCTGATGAATCTGAGGTTCATAGGCACCCTCAGCATACGTACGACTGGTCAAGCGATATTTCCCAGGTGGCTTCTGGCGGATGGTTTCACGTCTGTGGAGTGGGTGGGGGATTGAGCAAATAATAGTTGATTTGAAAGGATGGTTCATATGCCGCTAAAATCATTCCACTGAAAAATCAGCGTTGACTCCCCAGGATGGTTATTTAGCATGAGCTGTGAGCTTTTTGCTGAGCTCTTGACTCTGGCAGAACTGACTAAAATAGGAAGTGATTTCACTTTTAATGAAATGGTTATTCATAAACTTTGACCAACCAGATCTGAGAAATTTGTAAAGGCGTTGTAGCGTGATGATTGACTAAATTTTTATTAAAATAGTCAATAAGATGGGATGATTCTATATGAATATGAAATATCAACCTGATTGATCTTCGCATGCTTAATCAGAAGATTCTAGTGTTCTTTACTTCTTCAGGGACCATAAACACACTTTGTAATAATTCAGACAGAGTCAGTATATAGTTTATAAAAATGAATTTATTTATTTTCCCTAAACTACTGATTATACATGACAAGACATGAATGGACTGATGGATATGATGCAATCTATTGAATCAACGCACCCTTATGTGAAGATCCCTATTCAGATCCAGGAGGTCACGAGGTTGTGCTGGACTCAGCTGATGACATGGACCTCAAGGTACCAGGAACTCATAGATTAGCTCCGATATGACCCGTCTAGTCTTAAGATATCTCCAAGTCACAACAGGAAGTTGGAATGCTTGTTTGCCTCTAAGGCTGTTGTTGGCTTTTAGAAGATTAAAAGATCGGTCCCAAATCGCCCCATTTCACTTAATCACCACAAATTTGTAGCTGGTAACTCAAGACAAGTGGGGGTGGCTTGGCATCACTTTATGGGAGTTTTCAACAAACTGCGGAGCTGTGGCGGTGCGGCGGTCAGGCGTACCGCTGCGGCCATATGTTTGCCTCCCATTTCGTCATTTCTAAAGATATTAACACAAAACTTCTGGTGAGTGATCCTAGTCCAGCCCCCAAAACAATTTGCTGTGAAAATCTGGTAGGCGTGGCCTATGTCTGGGTTTTGGGAGCATGGTGAATTTCGCCATCACGCCATGGAAATACATTTGCCTCTCATTTCTTCAGTTATTGTGATATCGCAACGATATTTCTGGTGAGTGATCCGAGTCTGACCCCCAATAGAAATGGATAGCTGAAGTTTGTGGGCGAGGCCTAATTTCTGAAATAGTGCCCCCTAGGACCATTAAAACTGTCAGCCTCAAGCCATGCTTTGACTGAGGATAACGAAATTTGCTACACTAATGAAATCACTCAGGACCTACAAAAACGTCTCTTGGAGCCAAGCTCAAAGTTGCACAGGAGGTCGGCCATTTTGGTCCAAGTATTCGATTTAGTGGTTTTCGAACACGTTGTTTGGAGAATGATGTCCCGTCGTCCTTTTCACCGATTGCCTTCAAACTTCTGCTATATACTCTTAAGACATAGGGGGAAAAAATTCAACTGTCGGATTTTAAATAAGTGTAAAGGTGTGGGCATGGCTAAGCCTCAAACTTTGACCTGTCGCCACGCCACTCTTTTTTTTCACAGCTCCCTATTGGACTCATTTTACCAAATCACCAGCAATCTTGCAAATAACAGCAGACAAGTTGAGGTCACTTGGTCTCCAGTTCAGGCAGGTTTTGGAAAAAGGTGAGGCTTTGGGAGCATGGCGAAATTTGCCATCACGCCATGGAAATACGTTTGCCTCTCATTTCTTCAGTTATCGTGATATTGCCATGAAATTTCTGGTGAGTGATCCTAGTCTGATTGTCAATAGAAATAAAGGTCATAGTTTGGTGGGCGTGGCCTATATTCTGAAATAGCGCCCCCTAGGACCTTTAAAAGTGTCAGCCCCACGCCATGCTTTGACTGAGGATTACAAAATTTGGTACACCAATATAGTGTCTCAGGACCTACAAAAAAGTCTCTTGGAGCCAAGTGCAAAGTCGCACTGGAGGTTGGCCATTTTGGTCCAAGTACTTAATTTAGTGGTTTTCGCACACGTTGTTTGGAGAATGATGCCCCGTTGCCTTTTTCACTGATCGTCTTCAACCTTTTGCTATATACTCTTAAGACATAGGGGAAAAATTCAACTGTTGGATTTTAAATAACTTGAAAGGTGTGGACGTGAATAAGCCTCAAACTTTGACCTTTCGCCATTACATTACTTGACTTAATAGCTCCCATGTGCATGATCAGATCTATATCAAATTTTGTGTGATCACTGACCACATCTCAAGACAATGACAATGTGACCTGCTGATATCACCTAAGCCCCGCCTCCTGACAACAGGAAGTCTATTGTTTTGTGGTGAATGACTAAGTTCCACAAACAGCCTCCGATCTGCATGAGACTGAACATGGCAATCAACAATCATGCCCTTTAGCCAATGAGGCACAAACGGTTGGTAAAAGTTGTATAATATCACCACAGCGCCCCCTACATACCTTTAAAACTGTCATAACTCCTAAAGACGAGGTCACAACTGCACCAAACTTGCTATGTGTCATCACACAAAGGCACCCAACACAATCCTGTGGTCATTGGTTGATATCGCTTTAGCTCCGCCCCCTGACAGATATTAGGCCCTGAACAACACATGCATAATGCAATTCACATCAAACTGCACACAGATGATTGTTGTCAACCTACAAACTGCTCCATGGGATCTTTTCCTAAATTTGGGACAGCGCCCCTAGATACAATAAAACCTTTGTAACTTCTACAAAAAAGCTCCAAACTATATAAAACTTGGTGGGAGTCATCACGCAACTGCAATCAGCACACGTATGTGCTCACTCATTCAAATCACTTTAACTCCACCCACTTACAGTCTTTTGTCTCTAGATGACCCATGCAACGTTTGATTGATGCCAAATTAACAGAAAACCATCTTTGACGAGCAAAGATGACCTCTATGGGATTTAGTTGCAAATGGTCACAGCGCCCCCTAGATAGGTTCAAACTTTATCAACTTCTAAAGACAAGGTCAGAGTGGCATTATACTTGGCTTGTGACATCATGTGACTGCACCAAACACATTGATTTGGTTGTTGGTTCAAATCCCTGTAGCTCCACCCCTTCCAGCTCACTGGCTCTATAACACACATAACATCTGATTGATGCCAAACTACCACAAAACCATCTTTGACTCCCTAAGAGGACTGCAATGGGGTTTTTATGTAATTGGTCACAGTGCCCCCTAGATGAGATGAAAAGTTGATTACTTCCTAATACAAGGTCAGAATGGCATTAATCTTGGCTTGTGTCATCACGTGACTATACCAAACACATT